TGTGATGCGATTGCTTTTTTTTTTTTTGTATTTCTTTCCCATCTCTCCTCTTGGTCCAGCTGTTGTGTGCAAAAAAGCATGAGTGTGATGTTAGACCCTGTCCATAAAATCACTGTGTCAGTGTGTTCAGATCTGGTGTGCCGAGGTGCTGACACAGTTATCAGACACAAAATCCCTGCCGCTCTCCCAGTGAGATCTGCTGGTTGTAGGAACTAAAAAGGCAGTGTCAATGAGGGTGTGATAACTGTGAACGTCTGTCTACATGTGTCTCCTGTCGGCTCATCTCTCCTGTTTCCCCTCGTTCTCCACCAACACCTCACACACACGCGCGCACACACACACACACACACACACACGCACACGTTGCACCCCGCTTTCTGCCTCCCCTCTGTCACTGGGAAGTTAAAAAAAAAAAAGGATAAAAAGGAGCCAGGATCAAACAAAGTCGGAAAATGCCTGTCTGCCGTTCATCTGACAGCACTGCATCCTGAACCCTTTTAAAAGAGAGTGCAGAGGAAAAAAGAAAGAAAAATAGGACATATTTCGTACAATTTATGCAGCGTTAATTTTTCCAGCCCCCGCGTCGACTGTTTACACAGTCCTGCACATCTCAAAACCTCCCTCTCTTGTTCTGTGCCCCCACATCTCTCAAACCGCAATCCTTCCTTTACTTTTTCATCCCACCCCTCTCACTTTTTGTGGTTTATGTTATTCAGATTTTCATGGGTTTTTTTGTTTTTTTTCCTCCTGCAATTTTTTTGTCACAAGTGAGGATGCTCTCCCATGGGGTGGCTAAATTTACATCTCTACGTATGACAAACACAAACAAAGAAGGAAACAAATCAAATGTTCGGAAGAAAGAGAATAGGTAAAAAAAAAAAAAGGCCAAAAGAGGATGTGGATGTCAGCCTCAGAACATATGCAAAAATACAACAGAAACATAATGATAATCTATGAATAGATTAAAGTTGTGCAGCACCAATTGGATAGTCTAATGACTCCCTTGGAACAATTTTTAACATATTTATTTAAAGAGACGGCACATAAATCACCTCTGTGAAAATCAAAATCATCTCAAACCATTTCACCCACTGACGGATGTATAGACGAAAGCTTTGATGCTAATATAAAAAAAAAGGTATGAAAATTAAAATGATGGACGTTCCATGCCTTCCAAAAGTAATCATGCGCCTGGCACTGTTCCACGTTTTGTTCCATTAGAACCTCCCCCCCAAAATATGTATTTTATTATACTTGGAATGTATGTACTTGGCTTGGATTCTGTATAATTCGGCTGAATTGACGTTTTTCTTTCTTTCTTTTTTCTTGTTTTTTTGGAAAGAGTCTTGGCACAACATGTGTTGGAATTGGAAACTGAATTGGAACACAAAGCCGTGCAATATTGTAAAGTGGACGGAAAATCGGTGTGGAGGAAAAACACTCCTTAGTTTCCAAAGCGTGGCATGTATTTTTATTCAGTTTCTGATACCCTGAATAAAATCCATACCAACCAAGTGCCTTCAGTAGTAAACTTACTCCACCTGTTGGTAACTCAAGCTTAATCTAAATCCATATTCCACGAAGTCCTCCGAGGCGTCCTACTGAGCATCGGCGAACAAACAAATCATGAAGACCAGAGAGCACAGCAGACAGGAGAGAAATTAGATGGTGAAGATGTTAGGTTGTTGAACAATGTCTCAAGCTTTGAATGTCATCTGAGAGTGGAAGGAGTACGGCACATGGCAAACCTACCGAAATTCAGCCTTCGTCTTAAGCTGAGAAGCAGGAGGGTGAGAAGAGAAATTAGAGAAGTGACAGAAACACTCACGTTTACTCTGGAGGTGCTGTGGCGATTTACGTTTCAGGAGAAAAAAAATCTATTGACAGGGACCACAGCTGGCCATTCGTTCCACAAATTTGGCATTTATGGAAGAACGGCAAGAAGAAAACGGCAATAGCGACACATTTACTTTTAGAAGCCGAGTAGGGACCACAGCAAACATGTGTAAGAAGGTCAGTTTTGGTGCAAAACTGAACTTTTTGCCTTGCATGTGACACTGATTATAAAAACAACAACAACAACAAAAAAAAAACATCCCCACTGTGATGCATGGTGGTGGCAGCATAATCCTAAGGTAATTATCTGGTTTGAAGAGGGAGTGTGATTGGAGCTGAAAGGAGATTGGTGGAACTACTTGCAATGTTCTCCTAGAATAAAAAAAAACAACAACAATTTGACTCATGGGAAGAAATGCAAGCTACATCTCAGCGTCGTATTATGTTCTGGTCTATCCTGTCACATCCCATTAATATGCATATTGTGATTAAATCTGTTTATTCTATACGATACTTTGGCAAGGTACTGTATGCCGTTTATTTCCAAAAAACAAAGGGTTTACATGGCAGAAGCTGAAGAGGTCAGACCTTTACTTCTACAACATCAGTGTCAATTGTCCTCACCTGTCAGGGATCATGAATCATTCAAGCTAAATATGACGGCAAGTACAAACATTTCTCCATGTTTGCTAGTGAAGGAAGCGACCCACGTCACCTACGAGTTATATGTTCCACCTTTAAAGTGTGCAGCTACCATGAACCCATTAGGATTCAGCAGGAAGTAGGATTCACCAGCAGTCTACCATCATGTCTTGAGAGGCAAGTACCTGTTTGGTCCTGCTGCTTCAGCATCCGAATACCTGGAGGAAATTAGGGAGGAGGCCCCTGTAGAAGAAGGGGGGGGGGATTGATCAACCTCTACTTAAATGCAAGTGTGTGCGTGTGTGTCTGCGTTTGTGACGAGCAGAGAGGCCCTGCTGTGTCTCACCACGTCCTCTCTGATACATTATTAATTAGGCAGTGTTTAGAGTAACGAGCAGAGCATTTGAGCAACCCCCCCCCCACCTCCCCCTCCCACACACACACCCCTCCCAGCCCTTGATGACATGCTCGTTGGGAATCCGCTGTGTGACTGCAGATCAGAGGAAGCGACAGTCTGACACCGCATCACCACCTTTCAGAAAAAAAGAGAAGAAAGAATCAGAGAGCTGAGCTCCCAGGGAGAAGGAACACAACACCTCCAGCAGTTTCTGTTTGCCTGCGTTAGCGGCGGTTTGTCCACCGACGTGATGCAATTACTTCTGTTCGACAGACAGAGCTAGTGGACGCCGATGACCTGGGGCTCAGACGTTATGCAAATGCACATTGTGTGTGTGCAAATCTCGCTCACTAGTAAATACAATGTTTTCTGTGATTATTCCATATTTTCATTTCACTTCGAGATCACTGCCGTTAACTAATAGCTTAAATGCTACAATGCCCATTTGTTTGCTGAAGCTCATTAAAAATCATAATAAAGTGGTAACTTCTGGCTCTCTTTGAAATCAAACCTCCTATGCTTCTCACAGTTAACTGCTTTCATTAATCTACAGAGATGCTGGTTTCAAACGCGTCCTATAAATAAATCCTCGTGTTTTGAGCTCCAGACTTTTGAGGGAAGCAGCAGGTTTTAATTACATTCATCCGATGGCTAACAGTTCTCTGACAGTTTGTTTCACAGTTTCCACACTATCAGAAATGCAATGCAGTCTCACCCTGGAGCATGATGTAGCTTTGTTCACCACAGCACAAAATGGAGCAGTTTCACATCATGAATTCGAGAAGATGTTTGGTCTGTAAAATTACCAACATGTGCAAATGTTTTGTTGTGATTAAATGTGAGGGGGATTTTTTTTTTTTTTCTCATTAAGCACCTTTACAAAAACAGGTCTCAAGGCATTGTGTTTTGTTCAGGCCTGTTGTCCAGCTAAATTCACACATGCTAATCATTTGCCACATAGAAATACAACTTAATCTGCATCCTCCACTTTAATGAACAAAACTTTATTAAAGGTACTTATATGAACTGAGAGGTAGACTGGCTTTTTTTAAATGTATTTCAATGATATTTATACTCCAATTTAGTATCCACATGTTACCATTTTTACTCAGTTACATGCACTCTTTAGTTGTAAACAAATCACTTTGTACCCGTATGTACTTAGCCATTTTAATAGTGATGTGTCGTCCATATTTTTCATTTAGTAGAGAAGTGCTTTTGATTAATTATGAAGACAAATTATCATAGAAATATTCAAAAATACCCCAAAATAATCAAAATCAGTTTAGCTGCATATTATTTTCTGCGTTTCATATGCTACACTGCATTTCCATGTTGATTCTAATCTGCGTTTGGATGAACTATGTCCAAGTTTGAGAGATTATGAGCCTCGATCAAATAAATATAGATAAGCAGACGAAAATAATTACAAGAATAATGAGCACTTGAAGGAAGATTTTTTTTACAAATTTAAGACATGTAACCACATTTCTTAATAATAAAATACAGTAGGTTTGGGCAGAACTAGGTCAGAACATTTGTTGCCAAAGAGGTTATAATATGAAACTACTGCACTTTTGACATTAAACGCTCTGTGGCAAACAGATCCAACAAAAAACAAACAAAAAACAAAATGTCAAAGGTGTGTTCATTTATGTACTCTTATAACAGTCAGTAAATATCATATCTTAAAAAAAACAGCTGGAATGCCTCTAACACAAAATATGCTCTAAACATCTTCATAATGTAACTGGAAAACAATGCAAACTACAAAATCCCACCATTTTTATACAAAAACGAATTGACACAGATTATTCTGTCGTATTTAAATATTTTCCTACTTTGGTTAAAATCAAGGAACTTGTCCCTAAAAAACAAAAACTCCAAAAAATCCAGAACAACAAAACTTCTGCTGCTGTGGTTTGCTCACACCTGCTGTTGATCAGCTAATCAAATACATTTGATTAGTGGCACCTGGCTGCTACTCACTGCTGCTAATAAAGGCAGAGAGAATCTTATTCTCACTCTGCTCACGTTTGTGTTAAATCAAAAGATGAGGCAACAGCTTTTGTTCATTTCAGGTTGTGTTTGAGTAACGGCAAGACCTGGTAAGGAGCAGATGATTTATAGTGTGACATATGAAAAGTAGGTGTGATTTATTTTTATGATTGTATGTGAGCTCGGAGGGTTTTTTTTTTTTTGTTTTTTTTTGCCCTCATGATCACTAATTAATGTAAAACAGACTTGAATAACTTTTAGACATAGCCATAATAAGATTTAATTTCTTGAAATTCATCTCCAGGAATCACACTGTTGTATGTTATAATTGAGGGATGTCCCAGTCAGGATCAATTAGCTCTTATTGACTCTCAAACAAACACAATAAATGCAATAAAATTGATAAAATACAAAAATAAGTGCTTGAAATGATCTTTTCCTCAGTAGCCACTGTTTCAGTGATGCTATGCTGCGAAATGAAGACACTGGCTGAAACTCATGCTGTATCATTGCTTTTCTATATATAGAAGTTTACCATCTTCTGTGCGTCTCTGATTGCTTTCCTAAATATTTAGCTGTAAAGGACCCAAGATACTCCCAGGCACAAACCAAGGACTGTTTGTTATTCACAAATCTTCTTTGTGACTTTGCTCTTTCAGATTTTTACTTTTGAATTTTTCTTCTTTTTTACATACTTCACCAAGATCTACACAACTTCAGAGGTTTTAGAGTTGGCCCTAAGTAGAACTAGAATCAAAATTTAGATTTGAACTAATTTTAAAGTTGCCCTTTATTATGTGCAGACTTTGTGCTTCTTTCCCCAAATAAAGTTCTAAGTAAAATGTAATTGTAAAAAAAAAAATGAAATAAAGGCAAAACAAAACACACTGAGCTTGTCAAAATCATCTCCAATAAAGTGACTTTTTTTTGTTCCTAAAGTATCAGCAATAATCAATTTAGTGCACTTGTAACCGTTTTGCATTTAACTTCTAATTACTTTTTGCTTTACTATTCATTTAATGCTGACTTTGACACTAAAGGTGTAGTTACATTACTGCTATTTCACAGCACCAGTGGTTTGCACCATTTTTATTTTGTGCATTTTTTGGGATTGATTATTTTGAAACATTCTGTGTGAATTTGTTAAACTGCAAGAGCATTTAAATGAAAATGTAGGTTGTATTTTATATTATGATTTTTTATAACTGTAACTGCTTTATTAATTTGGCTGCACAAATCATAACATAAGATGGATGGCTTTGTGGCATTAAAGGATCAGTATCAGGTTAATTTGAACTTTTCCTCTGTTCTCTATCTTATTCTTCTACTTTGAAACTTGCATATGAAAATGGGCCTGTGTGTTTTTTTTTGTGCCTCATAAATAATGCAGATGCAAATCTTCCCCTACCAATCAACCTCCAACCTTTCTTTCTTTCTTTCTTTCTTTCTTTCAGTTCTGTCACTGTTTAGCATGATATTTGGGGTCACAACCACTTTCCCCTTCCCCCAAAAGCATGTTCACATTACACTCATCTCTTTCTGCTATTACTGTCTGACTAATTTGGTATTTTGCCATCTCTCCCACACTCACACTCCACCGCTAGTCTGCCCTTCAAACCTTCTGGGTCCGGCTGAGCGTCTTGTCTGCTTTATTACTGACACTTCTGCATTTCGCCTCTCCGAGGCGACTCCTGTGCAGCTAAGCCGAGACCTTATCATCTCTATGCACTTCTGGTGTGCATGTATCTGCACAGAGAAATGCAAAGGCAATAATTTAAAGAGTTTTTTATTTTTATTTTGCTTCTTCTTTCCTGTATGGAGCATCACCGATGTTGCTAAATTTCAGCATTCCAGCGTCATGTTCGGAGCCCAGACTGTGGACAGTGTTGTAGTGCTGAAAAGGGTGATGTTGACAGCTAAGATTTAGCTTTTATTTTTCCAGGGGCTACTCAGCAGAATGTAAAAAGTGCCTCCATAAAGAAGTGTATCTGAGAGCGACTGCGTGTGATTCCACAGCACAGTTGATGATGACACCACCATCCCTCTTGGTGACAGATGCACTGTTGCATCCTCCCGACTCTCTGGCCCACTCTGGTTATGAATGTTGCTGGCATACCATAGAAATACTGGGGTAAGTCTTTATCTTCCCTCCTTTTAGTCTGAGGGTAAATTTTACTCCACAGAAAGCATTGGCTAAAAAGAAAAAAAATATATAAATCCAGTGTATTCTTTCTTTATATTATTTTCCAAAACGTGATGCAAAAGCAGAAGTTTCAGAATCACATCCAGCTGTTTGGATAATGCATTTACCTGTTTTTATCCTTCACCTTCCAGCTGAAAGCTCAATCATGTCCACCATAGCACAGCAGTCCAATGCAGCCTGCTGGTATAGTGACTTGATAAAGTGGGGAAAACATGTTTGGCTCAGTAAATATATTTGCAATCCAAGTAACGCTCAAACGCAAAGAAATTAGCGCAAATTAGTCATAAATGCGAATAGAAACGGCATGTGGACTTGACACCAGCAAATGATATTCATCACATGAAGAAAAGAAGCGTCAAGAGGGAATTAAAAGACAAGAAAACAAATAAAATTGGTATCGCAAAGCAATCCTGCTGCCTGAATCTGATATGGCTTAGCCTTTACTGATGGCCTATAAAAATGTTTTCTCATTACCAACGTGTCACACAAGAAGCATGTCACGATAAGCAAACGGGTCTGTCGAAATCATAGCAGCATTGTTATTTGAAAACAGACTGATGGGACTGGTTGCAGACGAGCTTTTGCACATCTACAGGCCATAATCGGGGACTCAGACAAGCACATTTTCACTATTAAATGGTTAAATGGCTACAGCCAGATGTTCTCTGTAAAGTGTCTGAGAGAGGAGTCGAAAGCGTAATCAGAAAACTTGTCAAAGAGCTACATACCATTCATAAAGAAACCTCAAATTACAGATGTTCAAAAAAAGAAAATAAACAATGCATTATGTGTCGGGTCAAATAAGACCCTTTACCCCAATGGATGCCGTTGAATATACTAAAAATCACGTCCACGTGATAAAGCAAATAGACTTCATATAATTAAATGAACAATATTCTTGAAAAGAATTAAAATCCCAAATTTGGATCCTCTTTTCACACACTGAACCAGCATACTAGGTTTATATGATTAGACTGTGAATCAAAAGGTAAATATGAGTTTGTATAACTCAGTTATCAGTTTCAACATTTCAAGTGTTTTGAAAAAAAAAAACAAAAAAAAAAACAAAAAAAAAAACTTCAGGCTAAAGCTAAAATGATTTTGTTCTGTCTCTCTCTCGTTCTGTGTTCATGCGCACATCCACCCGCACACATGTAGACGTTTATAGCAGCACACCTGCAATCTGACTTTTCATTATCTCCCCCCCTAGAGCAGTCCAGGGGGGCAAACTGTGTGGCCGCAACAAGCCAAACATGCTTGGAGGCTGCAGCCACAGTGAAATGGGCCAAGCACCTGCCCCAGGTGTCAACAGGCCTCCTTGGCCCAGAATGCCAGGCTTCCTTCTGAAAGAGAGAAGAGATGGAGAGCCAGATAGAGAGCCATCTCATTAACTACTCCCCTGGGCTGCAACTAAACAGGGGGATGGAGAGTGTGAAGACCATGTCAACTCTGTGGATGGCCCTCGTGAACTGCGGTTAATTGAAATCTGATATATCTGAGTCCCTACTTGGAACCCAACCAGTCAAACAGCAGGCTGGGTTTCATCCTGCCAAGTAAAGCTAGGGAGAAGAAAAAAAAGAGAAAGAGCTCAATCTTTCACTTTTTTTTTTCTCCACATCTTCCCCATCTCCAGCCTTGCAATCTACAGATTTATTGATTTGCTTGCGAGCTGTGAACATGGCCCATCACTGCTCTAGGACGGTAAGAGCTGATCACAGAGCACAGTTTGATGCTTACATGTATTTTTTCTTCTTCCTCTTTTAGTGTGCTGACCTTGGCTGAAGTAGAATGCAGGTTTTCTAATATTCCCCACTCTTAGAGAGGCGAATACCAGCTGGGGATACAGGCAGCAAAGACACATCCACACAAAGAGCTGTTTAACTGTCCAGAGGCCCTCTGGGTACTCCACCTTTCACTTTATCCCTTTAATATTTCATGTCCTGGCCCCAGCCGTGCTCTGGCCAAATGCCTCTGCCTGGGTTACTGGAATATGGATGAGAGTGCACACTTACCCATTTACCTGGATGTCAGTGGGAAGTGGTTCTAAACAATACACCTTGCCTCCTCACAACTTCACCTCTGCTCACCTCACTGGGCCCAGAGCTAGCTTGTTAGAAAGAGGAGCAGGTAACAAAGGGGGTCAGAAATAGACAGAAAAATCCTACAAAGAGGAGTCTTGGGATAACAAATGCACAATGCCAAGTAGAGACGATGGAGGACGATTGTGCTTCTGTTAGAATTGACGGCTTTGTGTGAAATAAACATGCAAGCTGCACATTTAGTCATTGTGAATATATAAATGTTCTTGTTCTTGTGCAATAATAGCACATAGTACTGATTGTGATGGATTGAAACTTGTTTATATATTTACTCTTACTGGTACGTGCATATTGTACGCATTACAGATTTGAATGTTTTAAATTCATAGCGCGCTTGCCAGCAGTTTGAGTTAAATACAGTATGTTAATGACTCATTTTATTTAGTAGGTGTAGTAACCAAATGTGACCAGCAGGGGGAATCTAATGCTAGTGAGCTATTCAAGAGCAAAGAATCTCTTCCTCTCGATGTAGCAGAGGAAGGAAAGTGTCCATGGCTCGTTTATTGAATTAAACACCTTTTCAGGTCTGAGTTTACACATACAACTTATCTTTACTGATGTAATTTGGTTCACTAAATGCTAGAAAGCTTCTGAACACGTTTTGTTACAGTCTACATTTACATACTTTGTTGTTAGTAGATCAGGTTTAGCCACAACTAGCAAGTAGCTCACAGCAAACGGTGCTGTCCCATGTCTGAATGTGGCTTTATAATGTGTATGCTAACTGCAGACAGCCTTTGCACACGAGATTATAAATTCTGCATATATTTTAATAAATTAATTGATGCCCTATTGAGCACAAATATTTAGGGGTTTTGGAAATGGAGTTGTACAAAAACATTGTAGTTATTGCTGAATGTTGGTTTATCTGTTATTTGTTACTGTCATATTTGAGCATAATGACTTATTAGTCTTCGTGGCATCTTTGTTCTGCATTAATGTAAGTCACTCAGGCAATACAGACTGTAGCGGAGGAAAAACGTGTTCCTGGCTCAAATAGTCTCCCTTTTCAGGACTTTTACACTTTCAGATATTTTGCAATATTGAAGCATCACAATATGTCTTGTCAAAGTGAAGGCTGTCTTGGGAGAAACAATCCAGTTGTCTGTGATGGTTTATACTTAGACGTCCAAGTAGGAATGAACTTAAAAAATGTTTAAGCAACTGGAAACGCAATTTTCTCCAGGAGCCATGTCCTGATGAGTCATAATGCTTGTCTGATTGATAATTTTCATCAAACTTAGAAACGATTCTTAACGCCAATCTATTTGTGACATTAGTACGTCAAAAGCTCACAAATGCGTATAACTTATAAACGTGGGTTGTCTTTAATGTTCACTAGTTAAGTCACCTGATTACATGAAAGCGAAAGTTTAAATTCAGTGCAACCTTGTTGAAAATATTGCAAGAAACTAATAATGGTTGATTTGATGAAAATCATGTAATAATTTTTTCCTTTTTTGCATTTACTTATGAGACAAGTTAATTCATTTTAAATTTCCTATTTTTTTTTACCTTCTGTACTTTGCCTCTTTAAAAATGTTTAAGCATTTATTTACGAATTTCCCTTATTCATTTTAAGTGCTTGCTTGTTAGCAACCTCTGTGTAGGACTAATTGCACAAAGTTTGAGATGGGCAGCCTCAATGAAAGACCTCACTTAATGCAATTATGTAGCAGCTTAATTGTTCTTTAATATCTATGCATAAAGCCAATGCATTACATTGAGTAATTATGGCTAATGACTGTTGTGGGAAAGGGGAGCAGGAAGAAGTGATGTGCGTTGAAAGAAAGCGCTGAATTCGTTTGTGCCTAATAGACCTTTTGTTGAATTGGTTCCGTCCGCATGTGATAAGGGTGTTAAAAATTAATGATTTATAACTATTGAGCCAGCAATCACATTTTAATTAGGCAGTAATTTATGATAATTTGTCTTCTTTCACAGCAGAACAGTTAATAATTGTTAATTAGGCGTTGATGATTTGTCCTTTGAACATATACCCTAGTGGTCAATTTTAAGTCCATGAGCAAAAAAGAAAAAAAGCCTCATCTGAGTATTTGTTTAAACACATGTGAGAAGGAAGAGAAAGAAAGAATTAAAAAAATATTAGACAAGTACGTAAAGCAGCAACATGTCATGTCCATCTGCACCATCTCTGCATTGGCACCAGATTTTCTCACATCACCAGGCTGGTTGTCTGTGCTTGCCAAGTCCATCCATCTATCTGTCTCAGTGTGCCAAGGCTGCAGACAGAGAAAGAAGACAGGGACACACTCCAGGGGAAGTTCCAACAGGGACACAGTTTCAGGTTCAGAGGGAGAAAAAAGAACGACCGCCATAAAAAGACTGAAATCATACCTTCGCCAGTCCTTTTCCAAGCAACTGTTATTTGTTTTACAATTTCTAGGGTCTGAAAGTGCCTGTGTTTCTAAGTCTTCGGGTCACAAAATTGACCCCAGGCTGCTTTCGCTATAAGTGGTAGCAGATTGCTGGAGGGGCTTTCCTCTCTATTCTGCACTACCTGCTAACCAGCGCGGCTGAGTATTTGTTGTTTTCTCTACCTGGACTTGCATGCAGACGCTTTGTATTTGATTTAATTCTTTTCATATGGGAAAGAAAAGACGCGGCAACTCTTTCTGACATAGCTAAATGTTGCAGGACACCGGCCTGACCGGAGTTCGACGCTTTTGCTTTACATGTTTCGCTCTTGGTACATCTTTCAAACAGAAAAGATTATTGGTGCCACACCGCCCCCAATCTCCCTTTGTATATACTTAATCATAAACTCCTGCCTAAATAACCATCCTAACGCAGACTTGATGACGATTTAAAGGTTAATAAAACTGCATTTTTCAATTTGAGTTATTGTAAGATGTTAGAAGTCCTCTTCGTACCATCTTGGACGAGCTGCTTTAACCTCCAGGACCAACTAATCTGGATTTATAAAAAAAAAAAAAGACTCCAACAGACTGATTTACTGCAGGAAAGACAGCAACTGCTTGCAACCTCAATTTCAAAATCCTGATCTATCTACTTGGGGTCAAGAAGCCAAATAATGGCTATGGCTGTTTAAATTCCTCTGTAAAACAAACAGGTTGTGAATGATTTTGTTGAGAAACGTCCACGCAGAGCAACAGCTTTGATTCGGGAGGATGTGATAGAAATCTAAAGAGGCTGTCTATCTTTGGTTAGGAGGGAAAAAAAAAAAAAAAAAAGCAATGAGATGAAGTTGAGCTAAACCCTTTTAAACCCTGCAACTGATGTGAACTTTTCATTCATTCTGCCGTATATTTTAGTCTTCAAAGAAGCCGTGTCAAGGAGGCAGGGAGAAGGGTGTTCAAAAGGCTGTGACAGTCAGAAAAGTCTGGAGAGAAAATATGGTTTCCTTTGTAAGATTTGCCTGATGTTTGATAAGTGGAGTACATCTTTAAGATATTTAGCAGGCATAAAAATTAATAGGAGTACTCCAAGTTTTACATATTATATACATATCATCTATTTTTTAAACCTTCCCTCAAAAACGCCTCTTTTTGATTGAAATGTCTCTGTAGCTGGTGATGTACAGATTGCCGAAACGGGAGAGAAAAGGTTGGAGTGTAGCAGAGCACATTTACTTAAAGCAGAACTGGAAACATGCTTGGATCATTAAAAACACATTTTTTAAAATCAGATCTGGTGTTTGTCAATTTTCTCCTAATTGTGTTATTTTCTTATAAATTTATCCATGTAACATTTCTATTTTTTACATTTTTTAAAAATTTCAATCATGCTTTTGTGCCATTTAAAGTATTTTTTAAGAGTGCGCAGAGTTTGCTCTTGTATATGTAGCATGCAATATAGTGGAACAGTGATGCTCCTCAGCCTACTGCTGCACACTGCTAGTCAGCTGGCAATCTTAAGGAAGACCACCCATAAGTAAATAAAATGTTTTCAAACTACACTGGTGAGTTTGAAAATGAAACTAATTGGGTGCATCCCAATAAAGTAGAATCACATCAGAAATGTAACTTCATTTTGTTAGTATAACTGTGACTGTTCGCCACAGCCGAACAGTCTTTCTTGTCCAGCGACAAGCTTAATCCTTTTTTTTTAGCTCATTCTAACATGTCATAAAATTTCTTGTTTTATCATTTCAGGCTTTTAATAGCAGTGTGGTGAAGCGGGAACTCACTACATCACAGAGCAGCACAATCACATGCACCGAGACAATATTTTAGGTATGTTGGCATCTGATGAACTGAATAAACACAGTACCATGCTTGTATTTCAGGCATATTTTATATATATATATATGGCTATGATAGACTATGACAAACAGAACTCCTCAACTCCGTGTCTGTCCATTTTAGTCTTTCAACTCTGACCCTCGTGCTCCAACCAGCTGTGCTTTGGTGACCTGTGATTGAAATATCTGTCTGTGCATGACTGCATGACGGTAATTATAGTGACGCAGCTAAGTGTTGTCATATGACTGCCTTTATTGAGCAGGCCTATATGGGGAGGCGGGGGGGAGTATATGCATCTCTGCGCCCTTTTGTGTGAAGGCATACCATAACCCTGCACTCACACAGCAAGGCAGCTGCTAATTAAATTAATGTGAGACAATGAAGTGCAATTAGAAGCAGTGGCTGAACTGATCCTTCGCTGTAAGCACTGTTTCTCCTCCCTTTGTGCCCGCGCCTCTTCAGAACCTGTTAGTTTTTCCTCTTTTAGGAGCGAAAATCCCCACAGCAACCGTTTGCAGGAGTGATCATTGAGCCTTAGAGGCTGCCAACACATTCATACACTTGGGCAGAGCACTGCTCTCCATTTCTCCCCACCTAACTCTGCACACATGGAGCGTACAAGCGCCGTTTTTCACCTCTTACGCCTCTCATGTGGCTCTTCCTCTGCCGTCTGACTTGTCATTTTGTCCCTGTGTGACTTTTTAAAGCACAGAAATGTGGGATTCAAATATTTACTGCCAAATTTACTTATTTTGGAAATTTTTTAAAATGTGCGCTATACACAATTATACATGTCTGTTTTAGGCTCTACAGAAATGTTTGTCAAAATTACAATCATACACACTGTGATAAACTTACACTGTGTAAAAAGATATTGATTCTGACATTGTCTGACATTGATTCTGTCTAACTTTTACTGTCTTAGGCTATTTAGTATTAAAGCAGTTTTTACATTTACATTTCTGGCCATAATTAGTGCCAAATAAAGACTCTTTATTACTTTCTTCAAAATCATAAGTTTAAAAACAAAAACAAAAAAGGTATTTTTTCTGGCGTCTCAGAAGGAAATAGTTTAAGGTGCTGCTAAAATATCCACGTGTGCCTTCATTTTCCTCGGTAGCTGTAAATGACCACATCAGATACTTTCAAAAGCTTTTGCCATTATCACCTGCGCATTTCAACATTGTTACAGACGTGTGTGCGTGTAAACTTCTGACTGAGAAAGCAATACTGGCATTAGGAAATGAAAATCTTTTAAACCTCATTTTATCTAATCTAATGCCAGACAGTGAGGGAAAACAGGTTCTGAGTCCCTTTACGCGGTGTATGCTGTACTCATTGTATTAATACATAGTTAGGATGAGCTATGTTTATTGCTTAAATGTCCATTGTTAGCACCTTGTATTATCACTTTCATCACCATCAATGTTAACTACCTGATTCTCAAATGTCACCAGATGGCACTATTTAGCTTTCGCATTCAATGCACAGAACTCAACAAGTGTATGTTAATAGATGCTTTCCTACAGCAGTGGTCATGCTTGACCTCCGCTGTTACCACACAGCATCACAGGGTTGAGCTCTGCAGGGCTACACTCCGAGATGCCGCTCCGCAACAATAAGGGGAGCGCTCCTGAAGAAGTCGGCTTCCGCCAGCCGAACGTCTGTTTCACAAGATGAATACAGAGGGTGTCGTATCTTGATCTGAGACGCGCCGTCGCTCTCATATTTACCGCATAAAATGAACTGAAAAGTCAACAAACATTTTGAGATGGAAGTGGAAACAGAAAGTGTTGTGCATCAAGTTTGTCTTCATGCCTTTCCTTTGCCATAAGGAGCACTTAGCACCGGCGTCGTCGATGCACTGGTGTTGTCTAATGGGCTTTTAAGAGCTTCGCGAGGCACTATTTGTGTACCATCAGTGCAGGCCTATGATCGCTATGTGACAACAGTGTTTTCTGAGCTAGCTCTGCAGCAGCACAAGATGAGTACCCTGAGCTGCGGCTTTCCCCAGGGGAGCGTGTGCTACTGAGATCTAACGGCTCAACTTTCCAACTCTAGTGTCTGTTTTCTGCGAGACAACTGAAAAGTCTTGATTCCTCCGTTTCGCCAGAAAAATGAGTGTTTGTGAAGAAATAGAACAAGACTAAACAGGGCGTTTTCGACACCCGCTCTGCAGAAGAGAGGGAAAGTTTTGATTTGTTGCAGGAAGTGTTTGCTTTTCCCCAGAGACAGAGGA